ATTGCAGTTTGTGCAGACATACCCGAGCTAGCTAGATTAAAGCTAGCTCAGGTTCAGAAGCAGTGTGTGCTTCGGCACAGGCTGTACAAGCCCACTCAGAACCCTGGCTAATTACTTGTGGGGTTGGTTGATTTAAAGCTAGCTTGGGTATGTCTACTCGAGCTGTATTCACATCCTGGACTACAGTCTAGACATACCAATAGTTGAACCTGCAGCACTTCATTGGATCTAAAGAAAATGACTTTTCTGTTTAGATAGCCTCCCTCATCCCAGTTATCGCTAAATGCCATTTACCCCACCACCACCACCCTTCATCTGGAACTGGGCATAAAGAGAAGGGATCCCAAATGCTGTGCACCCCCCCCCCAAAAACCAAACCACCTCTGTTTACAGCCCAGAGAGGAATGGTGTGAAATGCAGCACCCCGGCGCTGTTTGCATGCAAAAAAGTTTGGAAGAAATGACTTTTAATCATCACTGACATTATTCGCAGCCAGGATTAAGGATCACAGCGTTAGATCCTGTGCTAGTGTAAACTGGTGCAGAAAACTCATGCATTCAGTTCAAGGTGCATTTCCTAGAAGGCCTCCCAATAAAGCAGCTGTCATGGATTCAGTACATTCCAGTTACAATATATTGGGATAACATTTCACATAGCCCCTTTTTTCCCAAAGCACTATATGCATTATGGACCTAGTAATGCAAGAGCAAAACTCCCATTGAAAGCAGGGTGCTCAGCAATTCACAAGGCCAAGTTCAATTAGGTACAGACTCTCTGGACTGCTGCAGCCTCTGAGTGGAGGGTGGCAGCCAAATGATACACAGGATCCTTCACAGCAGTGTTTGGAGGGGAAATTCTGTGCAGTGATAGCAGGACAAACCTCCATACATGCAAAACACAACACAGGTAGAGCTGGTTGGGAAGTTTTCAGTGGAACGGTTTTGTCAGAAAATGTAAATTCATCAAAACCAACAGTTTTTTGTAGGAAAGGGTCAGTTTTAACAAAACTTTTGTCAGAAAGGTTTCACGAGTCCAGGATGGACTTTCCACATAGACACAGAACCCCAGAATAGCCAGTAACCCAGTGGTTAGGGAACTCACCTGAGATGTGGGAGAGACCCAACTTCAAATCCCTGCTCTGCCTGATTCAGACCAGGGACTTGAACCCAGGTTTCCCACATCCCAGGTGAGTGCCTGAACCACCAGGCAGGCTATTGTCTATTCTGGGGTCTCCCTCTTTTTGTTTTTTCGCAAAATATTTTGAAAGGTCTTGTTTCATCCCAATATGGGGGAAAATTTTTGAAACCTCAAATTTTCATGGGCTGGGACAATTATTCCCCACCCAACTCTAATCACAGGCTGCACTATTTACACATAGATAACAGAACTTCATTTTTAAGTTTTATATGAAAAATTCACATGTATGGAACACAATCTATCTATCTTGAGGATAAGGGCCAAAGCCAGCCTTGCCTAGATTTGAATTTATCATTGTTGCATGGAGATTATTCCACACTTGATGTCTAGTGGATGGGGGAAAGCAGAAGACATGATATATCTTAATTTTAGTAAGGCTTTTGACACAGTACCACATGACAGTCTCATATGAAAACTAGGGAAATGTGGTTTAGATGAAATTACTAGAAGGTGGATGCACAACTGGTTGAAAGACTGTACTCAAAGAGTAGTTATCAATGGCTCACTGTCAAACTGGGAGTGTGTATCTACTGGGGTTCCAAAGGGGTCCAGTAGTACTCAATATTTTCATTAATGACTTGAATAATGAATTGGAGAGTATGCTTATAAAATTTGCATTTGACACAAAGATGGGAGGATTGCAAGCACTTTGGAGGACAAGATTAGAATTCAAAATGACCTTGACAAACTGGAGAATTGGCCTAAATTCAAACAGATGAAATTCAATAAAGACAAGTACTTCACTTAGGAAGGAAAAAATTAAATCCACCACTACAAAATGGGAAATAAGTGGCTAGGTGGTCGTACTGCTCAAAAGGATTTAAGGGTCACAGTGGATCACAAATTGAGCATGAGTCAACAATGTCATGCAGCTGCAAACAGGCTATCATCATTCTGGGATGTATTAACAAGACTGGCATATGTAAGACATGGGAGGTAATTGTCCTGCTCTACTCAGTACTGGTGAGTCCTCCACTGGAGTACTGTGTCCAATTCTGGGCGTATACTTTATGAAAGATGTGGACAAATGGGAGAGAGTCCAGAGGAGAGCAATAAAAATATTACATGGTTTAGAAAATCTGACCTATGAAAAAAAGGTTAAAAAAAGCTGAGCATATTTACTCTTGACAAAAGACGACAGAGGCGGGGACCTGATAACAGTCCTTGAACATGCTAAGGCTGCTATAAAGAGGACTGATCAGTTCTTCTCCATGGACAAGTAGTAATGGACAACAAGGGAGGTTTACATTAGATATGAGGAAAAACCTTCTAACTATAAGAATAGTTAAGCAATGGAACAGGCTTCTAAGAGAGATTGTGAAATCCTCATCATTGGAGGTTTCTGAGAACAGTTTGGACAAAGACCTGTCAGAGATGGACTAAGTTTGCTTGGTTCTGCCTCAGTGCAGGGGGCCAGACTTGATAACTTGGAGGTGCTTCCCAGCCCTACATTTATACAATTCTATAAACCACTGTCATCCCCTTCAGCACAGCCTGAGGTTCAATTGCTACACCGTGTACCTTTCTATTTTTCCATTTGTTTCATTCTGAAGAAAGTGTTTATGTCATACATTCCCGCCCCTCAATTCCTCTTCGGCTTATATATCCTGAGAATCTTCCATCTGTATGGAGAATCATCATCAAGCAGCCAGGACCCAAACTCCATCAAGCAGGAATTTTACCTTAAACATCACCTGGAAATCAACTGGTATGAAAGTGCTCCCTGTGGCAAATATTGTTCAGTAAGTGGGCAAACAAGTTCTTCTCTTAGTTGCAATTTCCAAGTGGTGTTAAGGTGTTATAGTGTGTACTGGGGTAATCCAACCTGCAAGTGACATAACTGCAGGAAAATTCACATATAAAAGAAATGGACATAACCTTATTTGCTACTGACAAGAAAACACATTCTTGGCAACCACTATCTGGAATCCAACAAGACTCCCAGGTTACAAGCCTTAGCAATAAATGGTGGGCATAGCCATCCACCAAAGGCTCTGATATAACTGGCCATTTCCTCCATACTACAAGCACTGAGTGCTCTCTCAGTTAATTCTCTGATCACATCCCTATGTTAAGATACCAGGAAAGCTATCTAAACTACTCCACCATAAGAAACTGACACACAGAGCTGGATGTCCTCAGACACTACAACCCCGGCATTCTTAACTACCCCTGGATTGAACCTTTCTGGCATGTCCCCAGTTACCTGTAATGGAACCTGTCTGCAGCCCTCCTGGGAACCGCGATCAGGCGCTGGGGCGTGGAGCAGGGCTGTGGCTGGGAGTCGGGGCTGCAGCTGGTGCTGGGCCATGGCTGGAGCCCGAGGCTGCAGCTGGAGGCAGAGCAGGCCTGGGTGATGCTCCCTCCCTATACCCCAGGAGGGCTAGCCTGAGCCCCGCTGCACTCCCTGAATGTTCCTCCAGCCCACATCACTGTTTGGGAACCACTGCTCTAACAGGATTAGTATGGACACCAGAATCTTTGTTCCTCATCAGGTGGTCAGCAATCCCATCCTACCAG